GGGGGGGGGGGGGGGGGGGGGGGGTGAGGAGGAGGAGGAGGTTGCAAGGAAGCGATGTGACAGGATAACAATGGTGATGTGGAAGACAATCGATAATGGAGGGGCGGTGGTGGCCGCGGAGGTTTTGGGGTGTAGGGCGGCTGGAGGGGAGGGGGTGGTGGAGCAGCGAGTTCTTATTTTCGTATTAAGTTTCAGCCGAATTTAATGGCTTTTCTTTTCAAAATCTCACGTACGTGAAAATTGAATGACACGCGTATGTGATATTTTGCAATGGCTTAGACGTAGCGGAAGGCGTAAATAAAAGTTCTTTGTAGCTTGTTCTTCATGTATGTGTTTTGACGTTACGGGTTTATGCTTATATAATGCTCGACGCATCGTCATTTAGCTTTACGCCGTATAAAATTGAAATATTTATTAAATATATATTCAAATATATTCTATACTATTTACTCTGATTTTAATTACTCTGCTTTATAATTCTCAAGTATATCGCTGAATGTGCATCAAATGAATTGAAATTTCACATTCTAACCCAGTATTAAACTATATTAAATAATTATTCATTGCCTAGAATATTCAAAATCTATTTAAATACACAGTCTTTTTTGAGAAACAAGATTAGTTTTTTACTTAGCACATATTAAAAACTAATTCTATTTTTATAAAAGTAAATGTATTTATTAAGTTAAATTATGTTAAATTAAATTTACACTTCACCATTATAAGATTTTGATAATGCTTTATAATTATAATTTGTACTTTTAATAGAGAGTATGTAATAGTTAGAATATTATGAAGTTGTAATGTCGGAGCAACATTACAATGCTTATAACTTCTATACTTTCTTGCATTATTGACCCTTCATGATCCATCAAGATATTTGAGAAGTTGGAAATCAAGAAGCGCCTGAACGACTAACTCGCCTAGTAACGGCCAAAGGCATCTCGGATATTTACTGCACAACAATGTGTCATACTAAACTGGCTTCGGTACTTCATTCAACGACATTTCTGAATTTCCCAGTCCTGTTATTCCTTAAAAGTCAAGACATATAAATGCGAGTGCGGCGAATGATCATTTCGTTAGCTCACAAAAGTTTCTCCCCTCTCTTTATATTCATATAAATGTCGAATGCGTTGAACTTTTTGTCCAAATTACCTTTTAACATGCCTCGGTGGACATGCTCTTTCTAAATAGAAAATAAAGAGAATAATCGCTGCTCGAAGCATAATAATAAAAGATGGATGGAAAGAATCTCACTTACATTTGCACGCGACCGAAGTAAACCCTAATGTAGTAATAAAGGCCCAAGTGACTGTTTATTAGATAATTAAATGTCTTGATATTTATAATTATATGGTTAGTCAGTGTATTTCCAAAAAATTTTAAATAAATTGTAAATAAAATCATTTTGATTAAGGTAAATTTATTATGGAATAAAGGAGGTGTTCGGGAAATTGAAAATTATCAGAAAACTTCTACTCGATTTTCGATCGTTTTTAATAGATGAATGACCGAAAAATTTATTCAAAATTAGCCTCATCTTCATTTCTTAAACAAGAATTTTGAATAATTGATCTTTAATACAATAGTCAGTATAAAATTATTTAACGATTTCCCCAAACAAACTCTTTACATTTTTTCAAGTCACAAAATATTTCTATAAATCATTACAAATATGAGATAATAATTATCTCCAGTAAGTAATAGTTATTCTAATAAGTATGATAATTGCTTTCCTCATTTCGATTTGTCTTGATTAGAGAATTTCTACCATTTCAACAATCTTAGTCATCACACTGGAAATTTAATGGAATTCTCTTGACATAATTTCAGAAATTTCTGAAATTAAAAGTAGCTTTTTGAAATTTATCGATCTCCTATAAAAGATAAATCAAGGCTATTGTTAGTTTTAAACTTAAAATAAGTATATTTATATAACAATAAAGTTTTATATTTAAAAATGCTACCGTGAAGATTTTAATTAACTTATAAAATTTTTACAAATAATTGAACGAAATTTCAATGGGGTTCTCAATAAATTTTTTGCATTTTTTTTTTATTTTTGGTTTTTTTTTTTTTTTTTTTTGTAATCGCTACATCTAATTTTGAAAATGACTCTTACAAGGTGAAACTGAATAAACTAAATAAAAGCAACGAAATCGTGAGCTATGATTATATTGAATCTCTTGAATCTCGAGGATGCTTGGCACGCGACGTTAATTATTGACACTCGTATTTTCATAATTCACATTAATTACAGAAAATTTATGTCTTATTACAAGAAGCACTTTATATTACATAATTTAAACTGGAGTGTACTAATAATTTCACATGAAATTTACAAAGAATGAAACTGCTTTTATGGTTTTAATGTACATAATATTGTTAAATTTTTTTGTTTAGAAATTAAAAACTTTATTTCATATTAACATTATTTACTATAAATTACTCTTGTACTAATGTACTAATAATTATAATAACATATTAAGTAGATTGT